GCAGGCACCCTCTGAACCACTGTGCCACCAGGGACGCCTTTCTCTGTAGGCAGGTAGTGGTAGGGAGCTTTCTGCTGGGCTCTTTCATTTCCCTCCCAACTTTCTTTCCCCTGTAGTACTGATGACAGAGTCGGTTCCCCACTTCATAAAAGAAGCAGCTACAATTGCTCTCAAGAGACAGAAAACCATTTTTACAAGGTTTTGTTTTTGGCGTTGTTTTCTGTAGAAAGTGGAAACTACTCTTGGGTGATCTTAGAGTGGAATGCTGGGCCTACCAGGTTGGCTTTGCCAGGCCAGGGCGAGATTTCGATCTCAGAGTCTGTTCCAGTGTTCTCTGGTTTCCCTCCTTTCTGCTGGAGGCCAGCCTCCTGGTTCCAGGAGCCCCTCGCCCAGCGTTGATGCTCCTTTGGAAGCCAGCCCCTTTGCCAAGGCTCTCTGGGTGGTCTCACAGAGCGTCAAGCTGGAAATATTGAAGGAGCTTGTGCAGATACTGATGGACTTCGGCAACATGTCATGTCTGAGCTTTAAAAATCTTTGTAGCTCCACATGGACATGACGAGATGCCAGCAACTAGCCCATGTCTAACGTGCCCTGGGACCTAACATGCGGGCGGTGGGAAGGCCTTGCTGTGTGAGCCCCTCCCAGAGAGGGCAAGAGCGTGGTGAGGCCAGGGCTGCCGACACAGGAATCAGCGTGAGGAAGGAGGGGGCGGGCTCGAAGAAGAGGAGAGAGAAAGGCATGGGCGAGCAAGAGGCCACCAGGGAGGCAGAGAGAGGCATGCGGCAAAGAGGCAGGAGAAGAGAAAGGCACTTGTTTGCATGGCAGACGAACGGAAGCCACAGTCTTGGCGGTGGCAGCATCTGCATGTTGCTTTCCCCCCAGAACCATTTCCTTAGAGAAGTATGAAGGTGGAAGGAAACACGTCGAAGCCGTATTGTGTTTCTCACCAGGATGGAGAAACCATAAAATCCCAAAGCCTCCTCATGCTTGCACGGGGACTTAGCACTTACCCGTGCTCCCGTTGCTTGTGTCCCACCAAGACCAGTTCCAGGAGCGTGGCCACTTCCTTCCAGCTGTTTCAGAGCCCTGGTGGTGGAGAGAGGAGCCCTCATGGCAGAACGAGTTACCAGTTGGGCTGCTAAACACAATGTGTGCAGTTCAGCTCCTTGAGAGCAAGATGAGGCTTTCTACTCCTGCAAAGAGTCACCGTCTCAGAAACCCACAGGGGCAGCCGTGCCCTGTCCTGTAGGATCACCGTGGGTGAGAATTGGTGCCAGGGTCCGGTGATGGAGACCCCACGCTGTGTCCCAGAATAACTGTTCTCCACACAATCATCCATGGCTGGTGTGTTGGGAGCAGATCACCAGATGGTTCTTCCAAGGAACCTCCGCGTGGATTTGAACCTCCAACCTTTCAGTTAACAGGTGCACGGCCTGTGAGCGCTGCCCAGGGACTCTGTAACCTACAGCCATTGAATTGACTGCCACACATAGCTACCCTTGAGAGGGTTTCCTGGCTGTCAACTCTGGGAATAGACAGCCTCGTCTTCCTCCTGAGGCCCATGAGGTTAGCAGCCCAATGCTCACCCCACAACGCTACCAGGGCTGTGTGTGCTTGTAGGTGATGGCTGTTCAAGGCCTGTGCCCCCTCCTTGGGGCCTCTGCCTGAGGTGCTGTCAGGGCCTCCTCCCAACCACTCAACCACCTGTGCTGGACCAGCGTGCTCTTCTTCCCCACCTCTCTCTTTGCCTTAAAGGACAGTCCACAGTAGTCTCTGATTCCTGTACCCAACACAACACCGGTCACTGTAAGGACAAAAAAATTGTTCCAAGAGTCAATCTTGGAGCTGACCATCTGCTTGGCTAGAGTGATGTTGGCGGCTATGTACCACCTGACCCCATGTGACCTTTCCCAGTGTGCCAGGAACTAAAAGTCAACAGCAGCATCTCTCATTTACAAAATGGACTAGTAGCCTCCTGACATGCCCCCTACTTCCAGTATTCCCTAAGCTCACTGCCATCGAGTCGATACCAACTCGGAGTGAACTGCCCCATGGGTTTCAAAAGCCGTAAAGCTTCACTGGGAGTAGAGAGCCCCATCTTTCCAACTGTTGGCCTGTGGTTAACAGCCCAGCACATAGCCCTCCATGCTGCCTGGGCAACTCCGGGACCCATCCAACCTCCCTGCCCTCAAGGGGAAACCGATTCATAGTGACTCTCCAGGGCAGGGTAGAACTGCCCCCTGTGAGTGTCCAAGACTAGCACTGGTGATAGAGTAG